AGGTGCCCCAAACCACTTGTTCTTATATCTACCAACTCAGAGTACCACATAATGCCTTATAAGGAATACTGTAGAGTCACATTGTCTCTATTTCTTGCATCCCTTTAGTGTGGCCTAAAAAACTGAGGCTTGTGAAGTTGAAAAGCCAACCTCAACTAATTTAAAGCATCACAATACTAAGACAATCATTTCAGACAAGATTGTTATCAACTCTGCTAAACTGGATGATTTGTTTTAAGTCTTTATTTATTTATTTTGAGAGAGACACAGTGCAAGTGGAGGAGGGGAAGAGAAAGAGGGAGAGAGAGAATCCGAGGCAGGCTCTGCACTGTCTGCACAGAGCTTGACATGGAGCTCATACTCAGGAAACTTTAAGATCATGCCTGAGCTGAAACCAAGAGTCACACTTAACAGACTGAGCCAACCAGGTGCCCCTAAACTGGACAATTTTTAATTTTTTTAACATTCATTCATTTTTAAGAGATGGAGAAAGATAGAGCATGAGTGGGAGAGGGGCAGAGAGAGAGGGAGACACAGAATCCAAAGCAGGCTCCAGGCTCTGAGCTGTCAGCACAGAGCTGACGTGGGGCTTGAACCCATGAACCACAAGATCATGACCTGAGCCGAAGCTGGACACCTAACTGACTGAGCCACTCAGGGAACCCTGGACAATTTTTAAAAAGGAGATGTAGCAATCTCATCTCTCCTTCCTTAACATGACTATTTTTCAGCTCTCAAATCAGTAAACAAATAACTTAAAAGAAACATCAGTTTTTGAATATAGTTGAATAAAGGGCAAAAGTTCCAAAGATTGGTCTCTCTCTTTTTTTTTTTAAAGTATATTTCTCTTTTTGTAATAATCTCTACACCCACTATGGGGCTCAGCTTCATGACCCTGAGATTAAGAGTTGCATGCTCTTCCAACTGAGCCAGTCAGGTACCTCCCCAATGATATCTTTAAAAAAAAAATTATTTTAAAACAGTGATTCTCAACTTTAGCTGTATATTGCAATCGCCTAAGGGGCTTTAAAAAAATACCGATGCCTGAACCCCACTTCCTAATGGTTCTGATTTAATTGTTAAAGCTCCACAAGTGATTTCTTTTAATTAAACATCTTTTCCGGGGGTGCCTAGCTGGCTTAGTCAGAGTAGCAAGCAACTCTTGATCTCAGATTTGTGAGTTCGAGCCCCACATTGGGTGTAGATTACTTAAATAAATACAACTTAAAAAAATTTGGTGGGGGGGGTGCCTGAGTGGCTCAGTCGGTTAAGCAGTCGACTTCAGCTCAGGTCATGATCAGGTCATGTTCGTGGGTTCAAGCCCCTGTGCTGACAGCTCGGAGCCTGAAGCCTGCTTCAGATTCTGTGTCTCCCTCTCTCTCTGATCCTCCCCTGCTCACACTCTGTATGTATCCCTCTCAAAAATAAATAAGCGTTAATTTTTTTTCCAGCTTTATCAAGATATAATTGATATATATCATTGCATAAGTTTAAGGTGCACAACATGATGATTTGATACAGATATATACTGTGAAATGATTACCATAATAAGGTTGGTTAACATAGCCATCACCTCACATAATTATGCTCCAGGTGATTTTAATTGTAGTCCAGGTTGAGAATCACTGCTTTAATGTTTACAGAGGTAGAAACTAAATAATGATAGCAAATAAAGTAGGTGTTTCATATGGCCAAGATTTCAAATAACCGTTCCATTTGTGAAATCAAACTTGTTTCAGAGGCATTATGGAATACAGATGTCCTACTAGCTTCAATTTTATAACTTAGGCTAATTCATTGGAGAGTCTGTTGGTTTTTAAGAAGAATTGGCAAAAGCTTTACTGTTCTGGTATCACACATGTTACAGGATTTTTGCCTTGAGAATATTACTTAGCTTAATGTTCCAGGAACACATTTCTTTCATCCTTCAGGACACAGGTCAAGCTCACCTCTTCTGGGAAATTCTCCCTCAACTCTCAGGATACAAGGATTTCTTCCCCTTCTAATTTTTACCATTCTTTGTTATCAGATCAATTTGTTAGGCATGTTACTTAACATTACAATAGTAATTTACATTTTTAACGTTTCCTTCATCAATAAGCCCTGTGCTAAATATCTGTCTTGTTCCATAACAAGTAAAGTAAGATCCTCACACTTGTTGTTGCCTGGCACCTGGCTTATGTGATCTTTCCAAGTCTGGCCCTGATGCCTACTTCTCCAGCCTCATCTCATTGCTCTGTGACTTTCTACTGTTGAGTTCTAGCCACAGCGGCCTTCTTTCAGTTCCTTGGATGTACCATGTTCCTTCCTATTACACATATTGACATATATTATTCTGTCTAGAATGTTCTCTACCAAGCTACTCATTCTTAAGGTTTACACTCACTTCAGGCACCTGAGTGGTTCAGTCAGTTAAACATTCGACACTTGATTTCAGTTTAGGTCATGATCTCACAGTTCATGAGTTCAAGCCCCATACTGGGCTCTGGACTGACAGCTTGGAGCCTATTTGGGATTCTCTTCCTCTCTCTCACTGCCCCTCCTCTGCTCTCTCTCTCTCTTCCTCCTTCCCTCCACCCCCCTCCCTCAAGAGAAGGGGCACCTGGGTGGCTCAGTGGGTTAGGCATCTGACTTCAGCTTAGGTCATGATCTCACAGTTCATGAGTTCAAGCCCCATACTGGGCTCTGGACTGACAGCTTGGAGCCTATTTGGGATTCTCTTCCTCTCTCTCACTGCCCCTCCTCTGCTCTCTCTCTCTCTTCCTCCTTCCCTCCACCCCCCTCCCTCAAGAGAAGGGGCACCTGGGTGGCTCAGTGGGTTAGGCATCTGACTTCAGCTTAGGTCATGATCTCACAGTTTGTGGGTTCAAGCTCCATGTCGGGCTCTGTGCTGACAGCTCAGAGCCTGGAGCCTGCTTCTGATTCTTTGTCTCCCTCTCTCTTTCTGCTCCTCCCCTGCTTGCACCCTGTCTCTCTGTTACTCAAAAATAAATAAACAAACATTAAAAAAATTCTTTAGAGAAGTAAATTAAGTCAAATTTGTTGAACATTCTCATACATAATATTGCGTATCTTCCAGATTCTTAGCACAATACAGTTTAAAGCATATATACATGTGTGTATATATAAAAATAAATATGTATGTGATATATATTTAAATATATATTTAAATGTGTATGTGTGTATATATATTTAAACCACACACACAATGTGGGCATATGATATTTGATTGTCTGACTCCCTCACTAAATTACAAGCTCCATGAGGGTAAGATCATGTCAGTCTGGCCTCACCACAAAATCTCCATGCCCAGCAAAGTGCCTAGTGCACAGAGGCACATAAACATTGAATGAAAAAAAAGAGTGACTCAAAATCATTTTTTACATACTATTTTTTAAGTCTAAATTTACAAATAATTTAAGAACTGAGATGTTCATAAGATGTTTACAACTAACTTTTCCTTCTCTTTCTAGTCAACGATGGTTACTCAAAAAAGATACCTTGCCATTTTGGGTCACAATATCGACTTCAAGGCCATCCCTGACTCTGCTCCAGGTAGAATCAGAAGATGCTTCTGCCTAAGTAGTGTTGGTAGTAGGGAGAAAAATGGAGCTCTGGAATTAAATGTAAATTCAGATGTTGATTCTTTTTTTTTTTTTTAATATTTTTATTTATTTCTAGGAGAGAGAGAGAAACAGCGTGAGCAGGGGAGGGTCAGAGAGAGAGGGAGTGACAGACTCTGAAACAGGCTCCAGGCTCTGAGCTGGCTGTCAGCACAGAGCCTGACGTGGGGCTCGAACCCACGAACCGCGAGATCATGACCCAAGCGAAAGTCGGATGCTTAACCGACTAAGCCACCCAGGCGCCCCTCCAGATGTTGATTCTAACTAACTATAAATCATATAATTTCTATGAGTCTATGTTTCTCATCTATAAAATGGAGGGTGGGAGTTAATACCTATCAATGTAAAGCATTTAGAGGATACAGTGTATATTAGAAAAATATTAGTTTTTCTTAAATTTGCCATAATTCTATCCTTCAAGGTCTGACTCACATACTATGTTTTTCATCGAGCTGCAAATTCTCCAGCTAGAAGAAATTTCTCCTACTTTCACAGCAATTACACTGATCCTTGGCTTTACAGTTGTTTCTGACTGTACTATCACTACTCCTGTCAGACTTAGCTCCTTGGAGATAGATCCTGTATCTTTTCATCTTTGAATCCCAAGCTGTACCTAGCAGATGAATTTAAACCATTAGGCATAAAAAACCTTAGGAAGAGCAAAATTTCACCATTTTTACAGTAATGGTTCTCCTTGGAGAACTTGGCTTCCCAATGGACATCAATTCAACAGGAACTTTTTTAAAGTAATCCATTAGAAATGGTATGTTTCAGGGGCGCCTGGGTGGCTTAGTCGGTTAAGCATCCGACTTTCGCTTAGGTCATGATCTCGCGGTTCGTGGGTTCGAGCCCCGCGTCGGGCTCTGTGCTGACTGCCAGCTCGGAGCCTGGAGCCTGTTTCGGAGTCTGTGACTCCCTCTCTCTTTGACCCTCCCCTGCTCACGCTGTCTCTCTCTCTCTCTCCTGGAAATAAATAAAAACATTAAAAAAAATTAAAAAAAAAAAAAAAGAAATGGTATGTTTCAGTGGTTCAAAATATCTAAACATTACCATATTGAGAACGATCACTTATCCAGGGCCTACTAGGACTTGCACTTTACATATAATTATTAATTTTCAGAAGAATTCTGTAAGAATATCTGTTTTACAAATAAAGAAATGGAAACCCAAAGTTACATCATAGCTTGCTCTGAGTCATGAAGCAAGTAAGCTAGGATTTTTATCGGGATTCTCTTCCTCTAAAGCAAGTCTTTTCACTGTACAATGCTCTCTTTCATGAACAGGTTCCATATATTGTTAGACATTCATCTTAATGGAATCTTATGCAAACTAAGACATTGGTCAGCCTGACAAAATAATACATTTTTAAAGTCTAACCTTCAAATGTCCTTCGCCGGTGAGGAATTCAGAGTAACCTGCATCAGTGGCCAGCAAACCTACAAACTGCATGCTGGGCCGTTGTTGTATAAAGGCTTCAACAGCTTTATCAGTCACATGCTTTCTCCCAGAAACATCTAGTGAGACGAGGTTGGGTAGGATGTCCTTTTGTTCTAGTAAGCGAAGAGCTATGTCTGATGTAAACTGTTTATCATCTGAAATATCAAGATGATTCAGATGTTTTAGTTCCCGAACAACATCCAGTATCTGGGTAGTTGTCATTTTTAAACATTTCAAGTGGTGCATGGTTAGAGACTTGAGCCGGTCTTTACAGGCCAGTAAAGCTGTGATATCTGTGATCGAGGTGTTAGAAATATCCAGGCTCTCTAATCTTGGCAATGAGGCAACTTCAGCCAGGTCTTCATTGTAAAAGAGAACGTTAGTGATGCTTAGTGCTCGAAGGCCAGAAAGCCGGCTGAAGCACCGCTCATAAGGATCTTCGAGGGAGAGAGTTAATGAGTTCAGCACGAGGCACTGGAGATTTTGCTGGATCCATTTGTTACTGCCAAGTCCACTGATGATGTCTGTAATTGTGATGTCAGCATTCACACCTGTGGCATCAAGTTCCACTAACTTGTGGTGGCAGAAGGCTTTCCGGAAAGCAACGGCAGAGATTTTGGCTTTGCGAATGCAAGCTCGCTTTAAGCGCATCTGGTTGCCCCTGAAAATGCCTACGGTTCCATCATTCAGTAGACCTGGAAAAAATAAGCAGCACTTTCATTTCAAAAAGTGATTAAAGAATAGCTAAAATTTCCAGCATACATTTCCAAAGCACATCCATGTAACAGTATCTCATTTAATATATATAACAATTACAGAGGGTAAGAATATTATTATCTACAACTTATAGATGAGTAACTGGGGCTCAGAAAAATGGCTTCCCAAGATCAGAGAGCAAGTGGAAGAAACAGGGCTGTGGTAGATATTACAGATATTCACTAATATCTGGTTCTACTTGACTTCCTGGACACAGAGACAACTATATTTCCCAGCGCACCCTTGGAGTTAGATGGGGCCATGTGCCTAGTTCTGGCCAATGGGCTATAGGTTGAAAGACCTGTGAGTCAGTGCATGATTTCCCATGTTATCTTTTCCTGCCATGACAGTATAGTTTTCTGAGAGTGGCGTCTCCATCAGCCTGGATCCAAGGGTAACCATGGAGCAGAACCTTCCATGTACTTGCAACATTTATGTACCATAAGTGAGGTATAAATAAACTTCGTGTTAAGCTATTGAATCTGGGCAATAAAAAAAAAAAAAAATAGAACTTGGATGGCTAGCCTGTCACTCTTAAATTAGAACTAAAGTGTTTGTTTAAAGGAGCACTGCTTTCTAGTGGACTTTGCAGACTTATTTATGGTTAAAGAGTTAAAAATCAAGAAAAACCTTTACCTATCACAGTGGACAAAAATGACTATATATTAAGAATTCCAGGGGCACTTAGGTGGCTAAGTAAGTTGAGTGTCAACCTTGATGTTGGCTCAGGTCATGATCTCACAAGTTCGTGAGATAGAGCCCTATATTGGGCTCTGTGCTGACAGCATGGAACCTGCTTGGGATTCTCTCTCTGTTTCTCTCTCTCTGCCCTTCTCCCACTCTCTCTTTCTCAAAATAAATAAATAGGGGTGCCTGGGTGGCTCAGTTGGTTAAGTGTCTGACTTTGGCTCAGGTCATGATCTCACAGTTCGTGAGTTTGAGCCCCACATCAGGCTCTGTGCCGACAGCTTGGAGCCTGGGGCCTGCTTCAGATTCTGTGTCTCCCTCTCTCTCTGTCCCTCCCCCACTTGTGCTCTGTCTCTCTCTCTCAAAAATAAACATTTATATTTTTTAAATGTTTTGTTTATTTCTGAGAGAAACAGCGTGAGCAGGGGAGGGTCAGAGAGAGAGGGAGATACAGAATCTGAAGCAGGCTCCAGGCTCTGAGCTAGCCACCAGCACAGAGCCCAATACAGGGCTCGAACCCACCAATCGTTTGATCATGACCTGAGCTGAAGTCGGACCCTTAACTGACTGAGCCAGCCAGGCGTCCCTCAAAAAAAAGAAAACATTTGAAAGAGAGAGAGAGAGAGAGAGAGAAAGTCCAAAAAAAAAAAAAAAAAGAATTCCATTATTGTAGAATTACTGTGCAGTCCAATATAGTAGCTACTTAGCACACACAGCTACTGAGCACTTGACATGCAGATAGTCCAAACTGAGGGATGTTGTAAATGTAAAATACACACCAGATTTTGAAGATATAGCACACAAAAAAAGTAAAATATCTCATTAATGATTTTCTTATTGTCTATATGCTAAAATGTTATTTTGGATATATCAGGTTGAATAAAATTATGAATTAGGTTCATGTGTTTCTACTTTCTATTTTTTTATTTTTTAATTTTTTTTTTAATGTTTTATTTATTTCTAGGAGAGAGAGAGAGACAGTGTGAGCAGGGGAGGGTCAGAGAGAGAGGGAGTCACAGACTGAAACAGGCTCCAGGCTCTGAGCTGGCAGTCAGCACAGAGCCCGACACGGGGCCCGAACCCACGAACCGCGAGATCATGACCTAAGCGAAAGTCGGACGCTTAACCGACTAAGCCACCCAGGCGCCCCTGTTTCTACTTTTTAAATGTGGTCACTTGTAAATTTAAAATTTCATGGGACACCTGAGTGGCTCAGTCGGTTAAGTGTCCGACTGCAGCTCAGGTCATAATCTCAGTTTGTGACTTTGAGCCCTACATCGGGCTCTGGGTCGATAGTTCAGAGCCTGCAGCTTGCTTCAGATTCTGTGTCTCCCTCCCTCTCTGCCCCTTCCTGCTCATACTCTGTCTCTTTCTGTTCTCAAAAATGAATAAACGCTGGGGTGTCTAGGTGGCTCAGTCAGTTAAGCGGCTGACTTCAGCTCAGGTCATGATCTCGTGGTTTGAGTTCGAGCCCCACGTCAGGCTCTGTGCTGACAGCTCAGAGCCTGGAGCCTGCTTCGGATTCTGTGTCTCCCTCTCTCTCTGCTCCTCCCCTGTTTATGCTCTATCTCTCTCTCTCTCTCTCTCAAAATAAACAAACATTAAAAAAAAAAATTTTAATGAATAAACGTTAAATTTTTTGTTTTTAATTTCATATGTGACTCACATTTATGGCTTATATTATACTTCTATGGGCAGTGCCATTCTAGGGAGAGTCTTAAACCACCTCAATTCTATTTCCAGGGAGTTGATTTAATTAATTAATTCATGTAAGTTTCCAGCCATGGAAACAGTTATTAAACAATTATTATGCAATTAAACAATTATTATATGCCAAACACTACCAAATGTATATACAAAGAAAAATAAGATGTGCCCCTAAACTCAAAGTATTCAAAATCCCATGGGGTAAAAGTCTCAAACAATGGTAACATACTAAATTACATGGTATACCAGAACTAAGTACAAAATACCAAGGAAACAAAGGAAAGGAAGCAACTCATCATGCCTGAAGATCTAGAAAGATTCAATGGAAGAGGTGATCTTTGAGTAAGTCCTTCAAAGATGAAGAAAAATTCAAGGATGCAGAAAGGTGAGGGTATTAAAGGAAGAATAAGCAGCATAGACAAAGTCTTAGCATACATATATCAAATCATGTTGTATACTTGAAACTAATATATGTCAGTTTTATCTCAATTAAAAAACGCCCTCCCAAAGTCCTCAGAGATGTGAAAGCACAAAACATAGAAAATGGCAAGTAGTTCTACATTGTTTGAACATAAGAAAGGGGTAGAGCTACGTTTCCCTGATAAAGAGGGGAAGAAGAACGTAGGTTTAAGACCTAGATATGAGTGAGAACATAGTGCAATCCCAGAGATTTAAGCATGCAAGTAGGCAAAGACAAGAAACAAGGTGGGAAGGTGAGGTGGGGCTAGTTCACGCTGAAAGATAAAGAGAAGAAAAGAAGATCAGGCAGGGACCTTGGGACCCAAAGAATGACATGATAAAGTTCCTGAAGTTTTTTTTTCCTTGCCCCACATACCCCATTTAAAGCTAAAGAAGTTGGCAACCCGGGAATACAGACAGGCACAGACAAAAAAAAAAAAAAAAAAGAAAAGCTCCAAAAAAAAAAAATAGTCTTTTCATTCTAGCTAAAGAACCAGGAAGAAAGCAACCTAGCAAGAGACAAAAACTTTTATTTTATTTTTAAGATTTAACTTTTTAAAAATAGTTTATTGTCAAGTTGGTTTCCATATAACACCCAGTGCTCATTAAGATTTAATTTTTTACAGTAATCTCTACACCCAGTATGGGGCTCAAATTTACAACATTAAGAGTCACATGTTCCACTGACTGAGAGCCAGCCACGCACCTCTAGACAGAAAACTTACAGGCAGTAACTACTTTACTTCAGCCAACCACCACAGAAAACACTGCGGTCCCACCCTCACCCATATCAGCACATGCCAATAGGGGGACCTAGATTTTTACCCTTTTAGCTGTAACTAGTTGTCCCAATCTCCCCATAGGAAGATGTTAGAGAAAGCTGAGTAGGCAACCAGGTCTCTCATCCTTGTTGGGTGATAAGAACAAGTTTCTTTCCTGTGGTGGCAGTGGATACCATCTGGGGAGCTTGGACTTTCACATCCCTCTGGCAGTAATGAGGTGCTCCTCCCCCTCCCTGCTGGGATGGTCTCATACAAAGCCTGATACAGAGTCAAGTCTTTTACCAATGCCCAACAGTAATGAGGCCACCTCACTCCAACATGTGAGTGGAGGCCAAATGGGAAGAGAAATGAGGTAGCCACACCCCTCTCCACTAAGAAGATATCAGGGGAATCCTAGTGGGGAACCAGAACATCTGCCCCAATCTGGCAGTAACAAGGTAGTGCCTCTACCTTCTGCTGCTTGAATGGTGTCAGGGACACAAACTAAAACAGAAAAGTCTTAGAATACTTCAAATGTCTAGATGCCAATCAAAAATCACTTATTGTACCAAGGAATCATTTATCATAAGATCTCAAAATGAAAAAAGACAATCTACAGATGTTAACACTGTAAAAGAAATGTTAAAAGTATTTAACAGATTTCAATGCTTTTTTAAAAAAATATTTATCTTGAGAGAGAGAGAGAGACAGCATGCAGGGGAGAGGCAGAGAGAGACGGAAAGAGACAATTCCAAGCAGGCTCCACACTGTCAGTGAAGATCCCAACAAATTCACAACTTGAAACCGAGAGATCATGACCTGAGCTGAAACCAAGAGTTGGATGCTTAACCAACTGAGCCACCGGGTATCCCCTGACAGATTTTAAAGATGCCATCATAAAAATGCTTAAGTGAGCAATTACAAGCAGCTCAAAAGAAATGAAAAATAGCCTCAGCAAATAGAAAATATAAAAAGAACTAAGTGGAAATCTCAAAAATGAAAAAGAAAATAATGGAAGGAACAATAGAAAGACTTGGTGAACTAAAAGATAAAACAACAGGGGTGCCTGGGTGGCTCAGTTGGTTAAGTGTATAACTTCAGTTCAGGTCATGGTCTCATGGTTCGAGCCCCACATCAGGCTCTATGCTGACAGCTCAGAGCCTAGAGCCTGCTTCAGATTCTGTGACTGCCTCTCTGTCTGCCCTCTCCCCCCCACACACATTCTGTGTGTCTGTCTCTCTCTCTCTCTCAAAAATAAATAAACATTAAAAAAATGTTAAGATAAAACAACAAAAATTACCCAAATTGAAATAACCGGAAAAAAT